AGAGTTTTTCCACATCCTGGTGGACCGTACAAAAGCACACCAGCCGGAGCGTGCAGCCCCAGTGATGAAAACAGTTCGGGTCTCTTGATCGGTTCTACAATTGCCATCATCATCTCCTCCCGAACTCCCTCTAATGAACCTATGTTTGCCCAAGATATGTCTGGCCTCGTAGCAAATCCTTCCCGCAATGCGGACGGTTGTATTGTGGACAGCGCTTCCAGAAAGTCTCTCATCCTGATGTCACACTGGCGAAGTTCTTCTTGAGTCAGCTTGCTGTTACGAAGTGGATTTTCGCCCTTCGCGGTAATCCCAAAATGTGATTCTGGATGCTTTGCTATGCGGCGGATACATGCTAATCCAGCTTCCTTGATCAAGAGATGCAAATCCGCTCCGACGTAGCCCGCGGTCCGTTTCGCCAGAGTGTTAACCTCAAAATCCGCCCCAAGCCTTAGGTTTCGACATAGCTTTTGCAGAATTGCTGCTCTGGCTTCTTGGTCTGGAGCACCCAGTTCAATTTCCCGATCGAATCTACCAGCTCGTCTGAGCGCTGGCTCCAAAGATTCAGGTCTGTTTGTGGCTGCAATAACGATAACGAAAGTAAAACCGCTTGAATTGGACGGGGAGCCTTCTTCGTCCTTCTGCTCCCCCAACTCGGACTCTTCTGGTCTCAAAGAATCGCTCAATTCGTTTTGGGCTTCTTTTTCTTGTTTGCCATCCTTTTCCGTTTTCGCAAGAGACAAGCTATCGACACAAGACAACAACTGAGAAACAATTCTCCTTTCCATATCTTTGCTGGCTCCTTCACGTTTCGAGGCTATCGCATCAACTTCATCAATGAAAACGATACTCGGCTGCAAACGCACCGCTTCTGTGAACAAGCCTCTGAGCTTCCGTTCGCTTTCACCTGACATGCCAGAGACAACCTCAGGTCCTGAAACGCGCAAGAACGAAACCCCGAGTTCACCGCCAATCGCATGGGCAAGGAGCGTTTTTCCACATCCTGGAGGTCCATGTAGCAAGATACCTCTTGGCGGACTGACACCAAGATGCTCATAAAGATTGGTGTGCACGAGTGGCCACTCAACGAGTTCTCTAATTGTTTCCAAAACGGTAGAAACGCCACCGATATCATCAAGTCGCTCAGAAGGACGCGCCACCAGAAAGGATTTTGACTGGTCAAAAAGCTCTGCACCATCTGACGGTATACGCGATACCCGTCGTCGCTTTCTCACATTAGAGCCATTACTAACTGGCGTCTTCGGACGAACGGACGGTAACAAATCGTTGGAATTTGCAGGTTGTACAGGGGTATCATGTTCGAAGAATTCCGTTCTCGCTGCTGGGACCGGTTGTGGTGGTGTCTCGAAGGACGGGAAAGGTACCAGTTTGCTGGCTCGGCGGAGAGTATTCGATGCAAGAATTTTGAGCGCCGGCTGTGGTAATCGACCTGCATCCGGGAGTGTTCGAGACAATAATTCAGCTGCCCCGTCTGTATCTCCCCGTTGAAGGCTAAGGATAAAACGAAGCTGTCAGAAACCTGCGAAAACTTATGCGACGCACCCCGTTTCTCTGAAGGTAGATGAAGAATGTAACTAACCTTCCAGTCCGTATTGCATCGACTAGAGCAGAAACTGCTCTTTTGTCCTTTGAAGCGCCTCTTCTTGCTGTCATGGCATGCGAAAGTTTAACGCGATGGGTTTTGTTATGTAGGCAACGATACAGCTCTTCCCCAGACCGTTTGTTGAACGTGCCTTTCGGACCACCGAAGACAAAACCTCAGGAACGTTCTTTAGAGTATAAAATAGATATCTCGTGGATATGGAGTACGATAGCAATGAGAGTTGTCCTTGACGACAGTAATGCACAAACGGACTTGTTGTTTCCTTCTGTTCCGCACTTCACCGATAAAAGGTAGTTGCCGTCGTCGTCAAGCTTCTCAAGAAGTGATCGCCCTCAATTGCAGCAGTCAAAAAAATTCCTGTCAATTTATTTAAAATACTTGACTGATAGCCATCCAAACGTTTGACGCTGTAGTTCTGAACAAAATAGTAAAGACCTACTGCTAGTACCTTTGTAGCAATCCTAACCCTTTAGCAGATTAAGCATTTAGATATAAGACGCGCGCTGCTCTCCTCGTTGCTCCCTCCGCATCCTTGTTTGGAAGAATTAGCACGGGAAGGAACCTATCCATTGATTCTGGCGTGCATCTTCCCTCAAGATTGATATCATTTGTTCAGCAAGTTAATCGACCTTACCACCGTAGCATGCTCGATGACGTTCGCGGTGCACATGGTCTTTTTGTTTGAGGACGGGGACACCGCGTGGAAGGACTTTTGAGAAAGCAGAACTGCTACTACTTACCGCGCGCTGGATGGTAGACAAAAGAAATCGAAACGACGCATCATTCCTTCCTTTTGTTCACAACTTCTCCATAACATAATGAATGATCTGTAAAAACGTTCGATGCTCCCAGATGGGGGACGCTTTCAGTCGGGAAGATGAACAGCTGTGTGCACTATCGTATTCTGGTACCAGCAGCACTACCGATCTTCAAACAAATAGCTTTACTCCGACTTTCATCCGTATTACAGCAATAGAACCTTCGAACGGAGTATCTATCCCAAGAGATGACCTCAGCATCATGAATTCATAATCATCCTTCATATATGCATGTGTAGACAAGCATCACAAAAAGACATTCAACTCCCTTGAGTGTACTGAAATAATTCATAGTGGGAATGCCAAGGTCGGGATGGCCAAATGAAATGAAACTGTTAGGTACGCACTCAGATACATCTAGGTTTTGGAAGAAAACATACCTTGCGATTGATAAACATGAGCGCACGTTTCTTTCGAAGAGTCTCGACTTCTTCCGGAGTGTAATCTTTTCCTTTCGGAGAAGAAGCTGATGCATTTGAGGATTCCTGCTTCTTGTCTTCTTTTTCATGGCCTTTCGGCTGCTGCGCTGTACACATTCGAGTTGTGTACGAGTGAGAGCGCGCAGGCTGCACTAACGGAAAGTTGACAAAGGCCATTCTTCACAGGACTTCAAATGGTCAATGTCTTTCCTGCGACAGGGTATCCTGCACCAACGGGGCGTGGTGACTTCTACTAGCTTTCCAAGAACTGAGCTGAAAGAGCGGTTGAACCTACCCGTGACACACTAGTCCCGCTAGATATTCAGGGAGCTCTAGGTCTTTTCTCTGATCTCGCTAAATAATAATGTCGCATTACAGACGGAAGCTAACCCTGTTAACCCTGCTATCGTGCCGATGGCCATGGCCGCAGTGGTATTAGTAACGTCTATCCCCAATGTTGGCCCGTTGAAGGACGTCCTGAGTGGCGCAGAATTCATGTCTTTCGCTTTCAAAAAGAAGGCCAAAGCAGGTTGCCACTTGCCTCCATCAAGATGTACAAACAAGATGCTGACCGAACTATCTTCTCGAACATGTTGTTCATACTCGATAATCCATTAACAAACCAACGTCATGACAGCCCGCTCATCACAGCCTTTGTTCTGGCGCACGAGAAAGTCATTGACGCGTTTGCCCATTGCCACACTGCTGACATTTGCAGCTGTGGCAGGGGCGTTGACGATGCTCATGGCGCAGAACTTCTTCTCCATCCTCTTGAGCAAAAAAGCACCGGTAAAAGGAGTAGCTACAAGACTGCCCCCACGACCCCGGCCGCTGGTTATAGTTGCAGCGGGACTTCCACGCACTGGTTCAACATGGGTGTACAACGTCATACGCATTCTGGCGCGCATCCGCGATCCCAATTCCGTGGCCGGGTGGTATGCGGATCTAATCAACATATGGAAGAACCATAAGACGGGTCGCTATGATCATATGAAAGAGTCGTGGCTAACGGCATACAAATCACTGAACACTACTCTGGTCATCAAAATGCATGGACCAGGACCTTTTAAACTCTTTTCCCACGGAGCGCCACTTAAACAAGCTAACCTAACAGTGATTACGCACCGTGACCTACGAACCGAAGTCCGTTCATGGGTGTATCAGAACTGGAACGCATCTATACATGCCGGTAACATTGGCAGCACTCCATTCGGAGATCCGAACCAATGGGTGCGTGTCGCGCATCATATTCTTGATGAGCGCCTAAGCACGCTGGCTTCAGTAGGTAGTGGACGAGTGCTCGACATTCGATATGAGGACTGGAATCAAAAGTCATTCGAGCATCAGGTTAAAGTTATCAAAAAAATCGCGAACGAACTAGGCTGGCCGTACAGCAGGGAGGAGCTAATGGCGACTGCGATTGAAGCAGCAAGATTGGAACCACCTGCCAATAATGCTGTGCTAATGTACAACCCTGTCAATAAGCTTCACCCGGGACATACTAGAGTAGATGCCAAGGACCCTACTTTCGTTCATGCGCTGGAGAAGGGGTTCCGCGCCATTGAAAAAGATGCTGATAGCCGATCGTTTCTGAAATCAAAGAGGTATCTTTGAAGAAGTGATAGGCAGGTGGATGACGCAGAGCGACATTGTATGCTGCTATGTGGTGGAGGCTAATGCAAAGAGGAGCAATTTCCATTTCCGCTAACGCGAGTCCAACGATCCACCCAAAGTCAGAAGTTGCAATGCGCCTTGGGCGAAACATAAAACCAAGGAGATTCCTGTGGAGAAGGAAGACTCGCCCCTGCGTGAGAAGCTCGTTGCGAGCGAAGTCTGGATGCAGGATATCTGCAGATCATAAACAAGGCAGGACTCGCCCCTGCGTGAGAAGCTCGTTGCGAGCGAAGTCTGGATGCAGGATATCTGCAGATCATAAACAAGGCAGCAACCTTCCCCTGTAGTATCAAAAGGTTGTGTACCAACAGCCCTTCTTTTCAGTTGCCGTTCAACTTTTGACGGGGTGCGTGTTTCGGAATCTGAATTATGAGATGTGCGTTAGTTACGATCACTTCTCGGTCTCTGTCCAGGTCTGTAGCATGGCTGTGAAGTCTGGGTACCATTGGTCGGCAAAAGTAAACACACCGATGACGGAGAGATTCGAACTCTCGCCTCCGAGGAGATTTGATTAGCAGTCAAACGCCTTAACCACTCGGCCACGTCATCCTCCGTGTGCGTTGAACACTGCTATCTCTACAAGGTATTTATAATTGCAGTATTTGGGAACCTGACTTCTGATACTGATCTGGAGCTGGGACTAGAGTTCGGACTTGAGCTTTCCTTTCCTTGGCTGTAGAACTTAGAACGCTCAAGAGAATCAAATTGATCGACGATTGAGATTAGTCTCAGTGGGGTAGAGATTAACATTTGAGTGCTGCGTTTTCGGAAATACTGCGACATCCACATCTAAACAAAAGGACAAGCATTATACGCACCTTTCGATGTACGTATCTGGGTATTATGCGGACTTTAATGTCTCATTGCGGCATTTAAGTATCTAGAAGCAGTCCGCAGAGATGCTCTCTTCGCCGGAAATCAAGAAAAATGCGGCCATTGGTCAATAATATCCGCGACATATTTTTGCTTTAGAGAAGGTGAACACTTTCGTATTGAACCATATAAAATCTTGTTGATAGGATTACGGCGAAGGAGTGTGGTTGTAGAGTGAACATCTCTGCCCGGTAGATCCGATGGCCGGAATATTCTTAAGTTACATGATCCATGGTTGACAACTTTAGAAAGCACCCAATTCAATGTGAAGCTCCATTCGACAGAAGTTCCATCAAAGCTGTATTGCATAGTATTATATTGTGTAAGCGTGCGTCGTGCCATTGTAACTTCGTGGTAGACTCCGGCCTTTCAAGGAAACTTTCTCCTTTCCAGAAAGCCACGTTTTTTTTCCAAAGAAAGACATCTTGATTGCAAGGAGAGCACCAACCCAATGGCCCTTTCCATAGCATATGAAAGCACTCTCTTCGTACCGCAAGACTATCGTATGCTCTCTCATGATGATAGTAGGTAGGCTCTTTGAAGGAATGGCATGATGCTATGTTTTTGGTCCTAGATTAATCCATCCGAATATTCGCTCTCAACCTTCCCTTTTATTCATACTGTGAAAGACTATTTGTGTACCCCAAGCCTCACTTGGAATGTTTGCCATCTGACATGTACGCGAGGGGTTCAAAAGAGAAGTGCACATCCAAAAGAACAGACGAAGATACGTTAGGACCGTGTCTCTAAGGTTTTCTTCCTCCTGGACTCATGACGAAACGAATTAGCGGACTTTCATGCCACAGTCCCAGCAAACCGTTTTACCTAAGATTAAAGGCATGAATATATATATGGCCCTCCTTGATAACGAACGCATTTTTTCGTATGGAGCCTTACCGTGGCTTCGGAATTAGGAACATGCTCTACAAACAAACAACAATAAAACATCAGTATATAATGTTATAGGTTTATGGATGTCACGTATTGGTATGGCAAGTGGTAAAGGGTTACCTCTTTAGTATGCGCTCTGTTTCAACCACCCACTTGAGCCTTGATCCAGCTCATTCGTCTCGCTGCTTCAAGGACTGTTGGAACAGCCGTTGCAAGGGCTTCCTAGAACCCCCTTGAGAACGAGGACCGAACGGTATCCGTAGCGAACTTAATCTTTTAAGTGGTCTGTCTAGTCGAGAGCCAGTCCAGACAACTCCTTTTGCGGTAACCGAGCTTGTTCGTAGTAGGTATTTAGCAACGTAACAGCCTTGCCGTAGTGCTCCTCCATGTTTGTTCCGTCTGCGACTAATCCCATTTCCTTGTAGAACCCATCCACACATCTCAACATATCTTTGCTTCTCTGGCCCACATAGTTGTCAGAGAAGCCTGTAGCATAAATACTGAGAGCTCGTCGTCCCTTTATGTCGAATTGCTTGTCCGTAATAAGTGCAGCTGCCCCGGAGGCATCAGAACGAGTCACGAAGGTGCGGATTTCTTTTAGAGTATCAATGAGGGAAAGGATTCGTGGATGATAACGGTCGAAAGAGCGACGAGCGCCAACCGCTGTGCGATCGGCCAACGCTGGTTGAGGCAACGACGGTATCAGAATCGGGATGGCCGTTAGAGTTGTAAGAAAGCTTCGCCTGGACAAGCTTGCTGTGGCAGTCATTTGCCGAAATGAGCTCAGACGTGGTAGCGAATTGCGATTGCTCTGAGGCTTTGCTCCACTGAAAGAAGACACAAAAGCCATGATGTTCAAGCAGAAAAATGAGATGGAAGATCTTACAGCGAATTATCTTAACCCTGTTTCCTTTGGTCACATACAAGCTAGGTCAAGAGTTAACAAGGAAGTTCTGGGCGAGTAGAAGGAGGTTAGGTTTGGTGATTTGATGTGCGGTGGAAATCGCAAGTGATTTAAAGTGCGAAAAAACATATACATATCAGTCCATGAGATTGGAAGCAATTTTGGAAATATTAAGAAAACGTGCGATTGCTCGCCAAGCAAAGGGATATCAAAATGCTCTTCCAGGGCCCAATGGGAACCGCCTTCTGACCGTTGCCACATCACCACAGCATCACCTTCACCAAAAGAACTCTTTGTCCACCAACAAGCGAAGTCCCGTACTCACGATTACGGCAGCGTCCACCGCCACAAAAGAGCGCGCTTCAAGCGGCTCAGACTGCTGCATCGTTGGATATTCTTTTCTCAGCAATCTTTCGTGTTCTCGTCGGGAACACGGCCAACCAAGACCTCAATTAGAAGCTGCATTGCCGTGCGGTTTCCTCATTCTCCCGAAAGTGGCTCTGGCCTTTGAAGAAATGTCTATTTCGTTGACAATGACCTTCGGTAATTACTCCTACGGTTTGCGTATGCGGTGGGGCCGTCACAAGCCTCCAACTGACCCAAAGAAATGTTTGCAGCACTTGGAGTCTGATAGTGCTTTTCGGTCTCTTTTAGGCCCCTTGAAAGTTCCAGGGCATGACATTTCTGTTCTCTGCATCGGTAATGAAAGCCTAGCAAATGCTGCTTGCCTATGATATTGCTTTTGTGTGCCTTTATTATGTGAAGACGGGTTTATCAGAAATAGAAAAGCAGTTGTGCGGAGAGAGCTAGCTGAAAGGCTGTACTGGAGGTTTTCCTCACAGGTCTATAATGCCAAGCGTACTGATTGTTCTGCTGTGTTGACAATCAAATCGTCAAGTACACCAAGGGGTTTAAAAGGAAGCTACCAAGAGCTTTTGCCAGGCTACAGTGATACTAATTTCTTGCAGTCCCTCTGCACCGTAGTTCAACGAAAGTTTGAGGATCGCTTCAACTCACTTGAAGAGCAGAACGTGACTTGCTGCCGTACCTTCTTACATCGCAAATCACATTCCAGCCGTTCTTAGGAGAGCGGCATGATGTACAAAGCAGGAAAAAGCCAGGATCCTTCCGGACGAAAAGGTTTGGAAGGGTTCCTGTATCGACTTGAGATCGTTTCAGGAGCTGTGTACGACTTATGAATGAAGCTTTCGTTGGCCTCCGTTTGTCATTTTCACCACAAGCAACGCAAGGACCTTCAGTTGGCTGGTTCCACGAATCCCTGACGACCTCTTTCATTTTTGACGCCATCCCCGAGAATGGCTCCGGCTGTTTCAGACAGCGAAACTTCGGCGAATGGGAATTTGAGCTCCGTCTGTCCTTTTGAGCTATGCGGAAGGGGCGACGCTGGAAAGTAGAGGCGGCTGCGAAGGAATAAAGTTGCGGGGTTCTGGAGACTGTGGCCGAAACCCCTCCGTGGAGGTCACCGAGTGCAGTTTTGCAGATTTGGGAATGTCGGTAGGTAGAGCCTTATGATAAGGCTCATTTCACAATTTTCTGAAATATCACGGACTGATATGTATGTAGCTAGCCTTCCCTTCGGTATCATTGAGAGACCGAGATCCCGTTATAAAATGAAAATACAGTACCTAAACGGGCATGCGCGTCCCAACGAAATGAAGACTTCTACTGGCAATTGGAGCAAAGCACTTGGGTGTGGGGATAAGCCTTACCTCTTCGCGTGCGCCTCATGCCTCTTCTCTTTTCTTCGCTGCCATTCGAGACACTCGAGACAAGCAGGTAAAGAAGGCGAACGTTGCCACGCAAAGAAGACGCCACGCATATGCATCACTCCACTGAACTGCCAAGGCGGCTTGGTTACTAACGGCGATGGAGGGATCGCTAATGCCAGGGATTCGGGGTGCACTGTTGCTGATGTGTTCGTCCAGACCTTTCCTCGGGTTTTCGTACAGCGTTCTGAACGGTATCGGAAGACGGAATGTTGTTTCAAATGTCGCAATTTGGTTCCCCGGGCTTCAAAATCTTCGCATCGCGCTTGTACGCTTTCAGAGTTAGAGAAAGACGATACCGTTATTCAAAATGTGCCGCTGTGGGATAAATATCAAAGTGGATTCACGATTACTAACGGCACATGTTAAGAAGATAAGTGTGCCAGTTATGATTGGAGCGATTTCTGGGGTTGTTGGGTACTCAAGGCGGAGCTTCGAATCAGTTTGAGGACGACAGAGATGCTTGAAACGGAGACCGTACACCAAAACCAGTTGTTTGCATCTCCTTCAATCTCGAAATCGCTCTTCGAAAGGCAAAAGCTTCGTCTTCGCCAGTATACAAAGTGCTCGACGAAACAGCTCTGTTGTCCGCACCGACACCTTCTTTCGCCATTTCTGTTTCAAACTGTAACCCTTCTGCAATCTCCGCGTGATCCGCGCCAGGCCTAACGCCGCTAAACATATCGTCCAAATCTTTAGCGTCTGTGCGCATGACTATCCGAACCTTGTTCTCATAGCACACATCAATTAAGGTAATGAATCTGCGCGCAAAATTACGGGTGTCAGAAGCAAACACAGGCACGATATCTGTGACGAATATGGTTGATACATTGTTTGCAATCGCTCGGTAATCAGCAGCTCCGACAGCTGCTTCGATAAGTTCTTCGGTAGTCAGTTGCACGGCATTTGCTCCCACACGCTGTGCGTGAAACTGCCTGCCATAAGCGACTGGCCAAACAGCGGAAACGACCTCATCCCATTCTCTGCCGGTGGTTTGTCTCCAAAATTCTTTCACCTGCTCTTCTTCGTGCGGAGCATAATAAAGACGTTGGCCCTGATCCTGCTCCGACATAAGCGCGCGATAATCGACCCCT